GTTAAATGCTTAACTTTAATATAAGCTGAAAGCTCGTACTAAGTATCAGTTGTTGAGCTCTATCATACGATATGTATAATTCATTGAATGCTAAATGCTTAACATAAAGATAAACTGCAATCTAATTGAAAGGTGCACCTTACAGAAACCTAACATAAAATAAAAATGGTATGCTGTATGTATGCTGTCATATGAAATGTATAATAATTGTATATGTTAAATATTTAACGTAAAGAAAAACTGCAAGATAACTGTAGGAAGCACCTGACACATGCATTTGTTTAGGTTTCTCTCGCCCTAAGTATCAGTTGTTGAGGTCCATTATATGAAAGGATTAATTGTATTGTATGTTAACAATTGAACATGAAGATAAACTATGAGCTAACTGTAGGCAGCACTTAAAACAAACTTTAAATTAAATAAAGATTGGCGAGCTTTGTCGACTTAAATATCAGCTGTTTTTTATAATAAAGTTTAAGTGCAATTTTAAGCGCAATTTTTTGTGAGTGCATAAGGTTAGGCCCAGTTTTTTTTTATTCAGGCTACCATTTGCTGCGCTGCTCTTGCCAAAACCGCTCGGTGCTAGCTGCAATATCCCCTCCTCAGAATCATCATCTTCATCATTGGCGTTCATATCATCATCATCATCCTGCGGGGCCAGGACACCGGCGGCGGCCATTAAGAGCTGCTGTTTCTTTAGTATACGCTGATCAGGCAAAAAGCTGCTGCCACCCGCGGGCAAAATGGGCTGCGATGGCGGCGGCGGAGCGGATGGTGATTTTTTGGTATTGCCAGGCTTGCTGCTGCCAGCAGCACCACCTGTTGTTGGTCTAAACAGCTCCACCTCAAATTGTTTGCCCTGCTTGCGCGGGGATTGTTGCCTTTGCTGCTGTTGCTGCTGCTGCATACCAGGCTTTGATTTTGATAGGCTGCTGCTCTCGTAGGGCTCCAGTTCGGGAAAAATGGCCTGAATCTTGTCGTAGTGCTCAAATAGCTTGGGTATGCGCGAGTCGGGGCTGTTGTCCTTCACCTGTTTGGCTGCCTTTACGGGTAGGCGTGGTGCAGTGGAGCTGTTGCTGCCGCGATTGTTGTTGCTGTTGTTGCTGTCAGTGATTTCGCCTATGACTTTGCGCGTTTTCTCTTCGTAATACTTTTCGCTGGAGCTGGCTTTGGGGCGTTGCGTTTGCAGTCCATTTGCCTGCCCCTTGGATTTGCCAACGCCACCGCCACCGCCACCTCCTCCTCCGCCGTGCTGCTGCGATATTCGATAGTATTTATTCTTGTTGCTGCCGTTGTTGCTGATATTGCTGTTGCTGCTGTTCTGTGCGGTTTGTTCCTTTTTGTTGGTCCTGCTATTGCCATTCTTTTCGCCCGCCTTGTTGGCTTTATTGGCTTTGTTGTTGCCTTTGTTATTACCCTTGTTGTTGTTATTGCTGTTGTTGTTGTTGGTCTTGCCCAGAATAACACCATATGTAGCGGAGATTTGTTGATAGCCCTGCTTCGCTGGTGGCGCCGGCGGCAGCGGCAGCAACGGATTGTTGGTCACTAAATTGGATTTATTGGGCGGCATTTTACCCAGCGGCAGTTTGGCGCCACCTGCCGGTGTTTGGGCGAAGTTATTGGGCGATATGCGTGGATATTGCGGGGAATAGATCTGATGCAAATTACTGGTCGTGCTGCTTGTGCCACTCGAATTGGGCGTGGTCGCCTGCTCGCCGCTGCTAGCACGTGCCACCGAAATAGGATCATTGGGATCAATGGTCAGCGTGGTACCATAGAATATCAACGACCATTCGCGCAATAGAGCGTGGCCTGATGGGATTTAAGATGGGTAAGAGTGGTTGGACGGGTTATATTAGCAATGGAATGGTTAAATGAGTTTAGTTGATGAGTCCACAGAAAGCGCAGCATGTATAATTGTTTAGATTTTATTGTCGGTTACCATTACGTGAGAAGCTTTAGTTTTTTTTTGGATACTTACCCATGTAGCGGCCCTCGTTGTGTATTTCCAACTGCCAGTTGCCATGCGGTGACTCGCCCCACGTGTGCACCGACATGAAGGGCCATTGATTGAAACCGGAACGTGAATTATCATGCATGCTGTAAAAGAAACATGGAAGCGGAAAAGTCAGTTTGTGACACGAGTAAAGAGTGTACGGATAAATACCATTTTTATTCATTCTTTTTCAATTATTCATCTTATTAACTACCTACTTTATACTTTATATTCTAAATAAAGTTTAACTTATCTCCAAAACTACCACTTAGACCTGCAGAATTTCTTACTCATCTTTAAATACTTTCCAACTGCTCGTTAAGTATTCACTTTTGTTACATGATTTGAGATATTCCTAAAGGTTCCTTATAATGCATGCCGGGTTTGAATCAATGGTGGTATACCCAAGCAAGGCGTGGGGTTTGGGAAACCTCCCCGTCAGGTGGACTATATAGCTATTTCAAGAAACTCCTATTTTTTGGGCAAATCTCGTAAGTAATAAGAGCTAGAGCTAGTATATATATCAAGTATCTTTCATTTTATAGCTACGGCCGCCCCGCCTACTCAACTTAGCTATAATTCAAATAAAAGTGGAAAGTAGTGCAGTCGGTACGGGTGCTCAAGCTCTATTGGGAAAATTTTTATTTTTATTTTTTTTTTTTATTTATATATTACTGATAAAGCAAAGGAGCTCGCAGCGCGAGCTGTGTTGGAGGATTAAGGGGTATTCCCAAGTCGGGAACTCCCGACTAAACTAGTTATCTGTTTTTTTTTACCCCGGGCGAACAATTGGGCAATTTTGCTTCCGAGTTTCCTTCTCATTCTCTGCCATTGGTTCAACTTACCGTGAGGTTAGTAATGTGACTCTGGTATTTGCCGGAGATTTCAGATAAAGCTGAATATCACCGCGTCGCTGTGAGGTTAAGGTGATCTTGGCCTGCACATGCTCCAGATAATTGACCGAGAGGCAGTGATTGACGGACAGCTGCAGTGTGATGTGTGTGCGGGGCGGAATGACTCTGCAAAGAGGAAGGGCATTCAGTTGATAGGTATTACAATGGTGAATCTCATGACTTACTTGTCCACATGTGGAGCGTTAATCTCGCAGCGCTGTTGCTCGGGCACCGTTTTCCAGTTGCGAGCGACGCGCACCATTTCGGCGGCATCCATGAGACCATAGCCAAAGGAATGGCTCACACGTCGGCCCACACCGTTCCGCGACCAGCTGGAATCCTTGAGATTCGCCGGCTTTGCGGTGCGCACCACAATGTGCTGCAGGTCGCGCCAGGTGAGATTCTGATTCGACTGCAGCACCAGGGCTGCTATGCCCGCGGCGAGCGGTGCCGAGGCTGAGGTGCCCGTATGTGATACGGTGCATGAATGATGCAAATCTGTGGTGACCACCTGCTTCTCGCTCTGCCCGCCGCTGCTGTAGGTGGTGGCCAGCGTGGAGCTACATTTCTCCGAATACCACGGCACATTGCCCTCCTCGGTGGCGCTCGAAATGGACAATGTCCATATCGAATTCGTATAGCCATCGCAATTGCAATTATCCATTTCCCTGCCTCCATTGCCAGATGCCCAAATGAAGATGCTGCCCTTTCCGCCACGCCCCTTCGTTGTGCCCTCAATAAAGGCACGCGAGGCTAATTCACCAGGTCCATCCACTGTCTTGCCATCATCATCGGGACCCCACGATGCGCTATATATGTCGATGTGCTGCGGATTGAGCGAGAGCGAACGCGCCTCCACAGCATCAGTCACATCACCATCCAGCATCCGCACGCCGCCCACACTTGCCCCATACGCGATGCCAACCGCACAGAAGGAGTTGTTCGCGGTGGCAGCCACCTCGCCGGCACAGCGTGTGCCATGACGATTCGAATCGGTCATGTCGTAGTGTGGCATGGGGTCATCATCGTGACTGTTCACGTCATACGAGGCTTTGGGATCCTGTTAAAAGTATTATTAGTAATTAAAATCCGTACAACGATAATATGAGCTTCCTTGTCACTTACATAGTTCTGCTCAATATCCGGATGATCGGATTCGAGTCCATCGTCCAGAATGGTCACCACAACACCTTTGCCAGTTATTCCTTGCTGCCAGGCGGGTATTACATTCATGTCCAGGTCACCGCCACGGTTCTGCAAAGCAAATTTATTAATATCAGTTCTTTACCCACTATCCGTACACTTACCAGATACCACATCTGTGGCCATTTGGGATCATCGAAGGTCATCACATCCACCTGCGACATTGCTCGAGAGGAGGTGCGCGATGGTCGCATGCGTATAAAATCTCGCTTGGATCGCGACTTTGCCCGCTGCTGTTTGGCCCAATGGACGCGCTCATCCAAGTCGAGGCGGGTCTGATGATGTGTGGCGGGTGTCAGTGAACGCTTCGATACCTTGTGGTGCGCAAAGTGATAATGATCATCGAATATCTATTATAAAGAATATAAGGAGGAAAAACAATATTAGCGGGCTGATTAAGATTGAAAAGAGTTAGTCCCTTTGGAATATTTACCACTTCATCTCAGTCCGGATTACTGGTAATCCAAACTGAAGAAGCAAATTTAAGTCAATAATCTTAATGGAACGTTGTACAGCTTAAAAGCGAACTACTTAGCCACAAAATTCGCAGTTCAAATAAGTTTATTAGATATTGATAGATAAATATTTATAGATTTTCATCACAATTACGCGCAATTACGCAGTAGAATTGCCTTCCTTAATTTGCACAGTTTCTCAAAGTCGCTTTTGGAACCAATTCTCTCTATATGTTCCAATATCTGCAAATCATTCATTATCTGACTCCTAAAATTCCATTTAATTATAATACGCCAAGGCTTAACATCATCACTAATTGAGCCAATTTTAAGTGGAATTTTAGTAAAAGAAAAAAACATATTTAGAAGCTCAGTTTCAGCTCCCAACCAATACAAATTATATTTAAGGTAGTATGCCACTGTTAAAACTTCATACAAAAGTTTGCTATAGATATTATATCAGTTCTTAACCATTTCAAACTCATAAAATTTGACAAAAAATATTGGCAAACTATTTTGAACTGATTTGAGTTGAAAATGGCCCGGCGATTGGATAAGGTGCGAGAGCTGGCGGAAAAACTTTTTACACCATCGGAAATACATCGTTTTAATGCATATCGAGATAATTTTTCAAAAAAATATTTGAATTTGAATTCGTATAGCTTGAGGTGGTCCTTTAAGCGTCCCAGACTGTCAGTTTCTATGCCCAAGTGGATTAATTCGCGGTACTTTACTACTAAAAGTGGGTTTAAGCTCTCCCATTAAGAGGAATTTCTTTAACCAGAGCTCGTTTAATCCACAGAAACCAGTGAGGAATGCTGTTGCGAGCGACCCGACCACTTGCAGCCGAATTGTGAAATCGATTGGGATTCGGTGCATCCACCGGGTCAACCCTATAAGCCCCGTGACACACACTACTGGTATCCAGATCCGGAATATTTGGAGCAATTCCAGGGCCAGGTCTTTTGGCCAATGGGCGATGAATGGAAGAAGCGGCCAAATCCATCGAGTCGCTACTTTCCGCCTATCAATCGCACATTTCGCAGCAAGTTTATCAACTTTGGACCCGCACATCCAGCGGCACATGGAGTGCTCCGCATGATCCTGGAGCTGGACAATGAGACGGTGCTCTCGGCTGATCCGCATATTGGCTTATTGCACCGTGGCACGGAGAAACTCATCGAGTACAAGACGTACACCCAGGCCTTGCCCTATTTTGATCGCCTCGACTATGTCTCGTGTATGGCCTGCGAGCAGGCCTATTCTCTGGCCGTAGAGAAGCTGCTGAACATTGAGATCCCACCGAGGGCCAAATTTATTCGGACTCTCTGCGGCGAGCTAATGCGTCTCACCAATCACACTATGGCCGTGGGCACATCCGTTCTGGACTGTGGCGCCATCACGCCGCTTTTCTGGCTCTTCGAGGAACGCGAGAAGCTGTACGAGTTCTCAGAGCGCTTGTCAGGCGCTCGTCTGCACGCGGCGTATATTAGACCGGGCGGTGTGGCCCAGGACATGCCCATAGGCTTCAGCGATGATCTGTATAAGTTCATCAAGGCCTTCAGCGATCGCCTCGACGAGGTCGAGGATGTCGTTACCGATAATCGCATTTGGCGCATGCGCAACATTGGCATCGGCCGCATCTCGGCGCACGACGCACTCAACTATGGCTGCACGGGTCCCGTGCTACGGGCCACGGGCGTCAAATGGGATCTACGTAAACAGCAGCCCTACGATGCCTATGCTGATATGAAGTTCGACGTGGCCATCGGCTCGCAGGGCGATTGCTACGATCGTTACCTCGTGCGCGTGCGTGAAATGCGCGAGTCGTGCAGTATCATTTTGCAGTGCTTGGACTTGATGCCGCCGGGCCACATCAAGGTGGATGATCGCAAGATTATGCCGCCACAGCGTCGCAAAATGAAGACTGGCATGGAGGATCTCATACATCACTTCAAGCACTTCTCGCAGGGCTATTGTGTCCCGCCGGGGGAGACCTACACGGCCGTTGAGTCGCCCAAGGGCGAGTTTGGCGTTTATCTGGTCTCGGATGGTAGTTCGCGACCATATCGATGCAAGATTCGGGCCGCTTCCTATACGCATTTGGCGCTCCTGAGCAAACTTTCGCCTTCATATCTGCTAGCCGACGTTGTGGCTATTATCGGTTCGCTGGACATAGTTTTTGGCGAGATCGACCGCTAGCCGAATTTAGTGTGTGAAGGTACTTAAGAATTGCCAAAATAAAGAGCTTTAAACTCAAAGCTTACTGTATGATTCAGAAACTTTGCGTGTGACAAGGTGACTCTCAAACCCTAACCAAATGATTGTCAAACTAACACATTTGCATTTCATTCAGTGCCTCCAGAGAGTACAATGTGACTATCAAAATCAAAGTCTCAAACGCTCGCCATGTAACTGTGAAATGTGCAGCAAACTGTATATAAAACTTAATTACAGCGTGTGACTTGTCAAACTGTCAGAGACGCATCTGAGTGTCAAAACCTTAGTGTGTGATTGTCAAACTTTCACGAGACTGCAAGCTTTTGAAATCGTATAGCAAGTACGTCAGTCCAGGACTCAGAATGTGACTGCCAAACCTAAGCGAGCGAGCCTTTACACGCCGTGCGTGTGACTGTCAAACTCTCAGCGAGTGCCTGTCAAATTGCATGCGTGTTACTGTTAAATTTAATGCGTGCTTATGTGACAGCCCCAAATATGAGCTGACGTTTAATTACCCACTCTTAAACGACAATAACAACAAGTGTTGGCGACAACGCAAACACCATAAACTATAAATAATAACAACAGCAACACGAGCGCCAACAACACCAAGAACTACAGCTAAATCCTATAATTACAATAATGGGAAAGTCGTTGCCATAAACAAACAATATGTCAGTAAATTTTGGGCAACAGTTTTAAATAACTACTCACGAACACACACACACACGCCCGCTCATACAACAAATTGAAGTGTGTGCCTTCTCTTAATTATATATTGTATTTATATTATGTTTGTGAAATATTTGCTAAATTGTTTTGATTTATTCGGGCACGTCTCTGCCTGTGAGGCGTCCAAGCTGTAATCTATGGCCAGGGCTGGCATAGTGTCTGGAATTTGTTCTTAATTGAATTTAATTGTACGAAATTCTTTAGCAAATTACAATTTAAAGGCTACATGGCAACTATTTTGCAATTACTTTTAATTATGCTTCAAGAATTCGTTGTTTGACAATTCGTTTGTGGTCAGATCTTTTGTTTGTTGCAACCCATTAAAGTGGCATAAAAGGATATGTATACATTTTTGAGTGCGGCTCTAAGCCTTTTTCTGAGATAGTAAAACTTATATAGCTTAAGAAATGTGTGATATTTTTTATACATCTAAGTTCAATCGAACTTTCAGCTCAACTTTTTGGGAGAGTAATAGCCAAAACTTAAAAAAAAAAATATTCGGAAGTGTGGCGAAGAAAAAACAAAATCTATAGATATGGCATTTTAAAACCTTGCTTTTAGCATAAGCTCATAAAAATTGGTATATTTTATGGGTTGCAGTACTATTAACATGACATGCAGTTGGCAACCCTGCCAAGCATCTGTTGTAGAGGACTGTGTGGACAGTTTTGAAAAGCAATTGCGTGTATGGTTGTGCATGTGTGTGTTACATACGCTTTTCACTGTTGCCAAAAACTTGTACATGCTTAAAGCATTCGTGTTAGACAGAGAGGGAGGAAGCAAGAGCTCTTGCTGAGAGAGACAGGGTAAGAGAAAGACCTAAACTCCCGCTTCATCAAGCGTTTTACAAATATTATCATTAACCAAAAGTTCGGGCGCAAACTGCATACTGCCAGGTACAACAAAAACAAATGCAACAACTACATGCCGCAGCCACATGCAACAACAAACAGCAACTGCAGTGTAGCATAAAAGTATGCAACAAAATTTATTTATGCCCAGAGCAGGTTGTCGCCTGACGATTTGCAGCTGCGGAAGCGGTTGCTTTGACCGAGTGTGTGTGTGTGTGTGTGTGACTTTGTGTCTTTGGGTTTGTGCGTGTGTGCTAGTTTGTGTCTGTGTGTGTTTGTGTTTAGCTGTCAGTATGCGTTTGTAGTGAAATTTAAGCACTTGAAAAGCGGACGCACGTGTCGCCAATGGTACGCCTACAAGCAAAATGTCTGCCCATAACACCAGCTCCCTACCGTCGCACTAGCTGCCCGCTATTCCTTCCTCCGGCCCCCGCATCCTGTTGAGCACTAAAATTTTAATTGCAGCTACTCTCTGCGTACGTGTCGCCTAGCGCTGAAAACTCGTTTAGTTTTTATGCCAGTTGCTCCTATACCTATCCCTACTCCAACTTCCACTCCCAGTTTCTCTTCCACTTACATATCCGCATCCAATCCCGCTTTTATTTCCGAGTTTCAAGTTTATTAATTTATGCGGCCCAACAGCAGCAGCATCAGCAGCATGAACAGTTACCCGGCCCGGAAAGGATCTACATACTAGTTAAAGATACTCCCCATACTGTCCGCATACATATGCATTTTTTATCCAGCATTTTAATTGAGTTTGGTGTCAAAGTTAAGTTTATACTCGGTACTAAAAACAGTTTGAGTGTGTCCTTTTTTAGGGTCCTCTGCTGCTGGACGAGCTTAGTTTTAATTGTTTTGTTGCGGTTTCAATTAAAATTGACTTACAGCTTGTATATCTGGTCTTCAATCCTCTTCCTTGCCCCATCTCTACACGTTCCCATCAAATTTAAGTGCTAATACGGCGCACGTTGGTGGATTAATGGTTATTTTCTGTGCTGTCCGTATGTGCGTGCGTCATTAATACATACATTGGTTAATACATTGGTATTAAGTTTCACAGGCCATCTGCTATGAGGGCTCGTAAATACAAATAGAAGATCCGAATAGCATATACTTAACAAAAAGACTTCTAATCTAAGACATTTTAGATTAAATCTCACTCTCTCATTTGGGTAACCCAAAAAGTAGTGAATGGTTTCTTGATATTACTTTAACACGAATTTTAAAATGTATGTTAAATACTGGAAAGCAACAAATACACAATTAACAATCCAACTCAGAAGGAAGTCAAATAAATCGTTTAGTCAGGAAGGACTAACAATATTATTATTGTTATTGAAGAGGGCTCATGTATTGCTTTCAATGTGAGCTATGGTTTTATCTTTTCGGCTCTTCTCTCTAGGAGCCAACTCCAGAATATGCATTGAGGACTCATCTCTGAGGTTGCTAAATCGCAGGTTATGCTGTTAGGAAATTACAGTCACATAGTATTTTTAGTCGGTACAGTACTTAAAGTTTATAAACAGACGGCATCTGTGTAATATCAATCTAAAATCACGGAATATTTCTTATTCACACATTTCCCTTTCACGCTCTTCTCTGGTAGAAAGAGAATTTTCACAACTAAACCGCAAAAGTTTGAATACTTTAAGGCACCTATTCAAACCCTCTACATGCGCCTGCATTTTCATAGACGATTCCAGACACATTTTCCGGCTACCCATTTCTCACTCGTTCACTCTCTTACTCTCTTACTCTCTCTCTTTCTCTCTGTAACGCAAAAACAGCCAATTTTCTAGTGCATTTGTCACAGACAGCAAAGTGGACAAAGCAATAAACCACAACAAATTACAACAACAAGCAGAGAAAGAGAATGAAAAAGCGAGCGAGGGTCTCGACAGCGAATGGACAGAAAGAGAGAGGTAGAGTAATATGTTAAGCTGTGAATAATGCGAATCATGGACTGCAGGAGTGGGAGTGGGGCAACACGAGGAAAGCTTTTAAAATTGTCAACAGTTTAATTAATCAACTTGTATGCGAGCGACAAAAAAAAGGTAGAGAGAAAGAGTTTAACTGAGGCTGATAAATGGGGGCAAGGAGGTAGACAGATTAGTCGCAGGGCTGCCTGTGAATGCGGTTTTGCAGAAACGCTCGTCACGTCTGCCACGCTCAATTTCCAACGCGAATGGTTAATTTTTAAGCAGGACCACAAGCAGCCAGACACGGCTGCCGGCAAACTGGGTGGCAGCGACAAATAGTCAGACATTCAGCCAGCCAGTGGGTGGTCGGGAGCGAAGTCCAATATAAATATGTGCACCGTTTAATTAGCTGCTAATTAATTAAGCTCTAAAGTCGACGATGAGCAAAAGCTGTGGGTTGCGGCGCCGATTGTATGTAGCTTTGGTTTTCAATTAACTGGTCGACAGAATAGACGATAGATGATTATGTGGATGTAAGTTAATACGTTGTGGTCATTGCCTTGCTTTGGTCAATTATGAAATGAATATTCATTATTGAGTTCAAGCTCATTTCGACAGTCCTCAGTTAAACAGGTCGCATTCTGCGATGATCGCTGTTCTGTACAGCAGATTAAGATGGCGACTTTAAGCTTTAACTTGACTTAAAGCTCATCAAACATCTGTCGAGCATCATGAACAACCTTAGTTCAGTTTTTAAAGGTTTTAAATCTTTGAAGTTGACTGACTTTCTAAGTAAAACTAAAGAAAAACTAAAGCTTAAATTTTACTTAAAGGTCGCCCATAACTTAAGGAAAGCTTTATAAGTAGTACCATTCCGATAACCTGCTATCATATGCACATTTTCAAATATTATACTTGTAACGACCACGTTAGCTTTATGTGGGCAAATGTAACGTAAGCTGCTATACAAATTGTTAAAGACTGCATTGCAACAACTGCCAACTGCAGTTTACATCTTACGCAGCTTTTGTGTAACATTTCACAGCACTCAGACCTTCAGGAGCATTGCGCCTGTCACAACATTTCCAGCAACCAACTAAACGTACAAAAAAATAATTTTTTTGAATTTTTATGTCACAGGTAAGAGCATTAACATACGCTGGTCAGCAAAGGGATGGGCAATTGCGAGTGTTGAACATCTATTTTACAATATACAATATATATACAAGTACAATATATTTTAAGAAGAGCTATAAGTTAAATTAAAGTTTCATATGAATTTTAATTGGGTTCCGACGAACTTTAAATATGTTCATTTACATATAAAATTTGTGCTTTAAGAATTTTTTTCATCTATGCTTTTGATGACGCACTTTAGAGTCTTCGTAGAGCTTTTTTACTGCAGGTGCACAATTGCTGCTCCATCATTTTGTGTACCAGTGTTGCCATTTCCATGCATACAAAGATCGTATTTGTTTGGAATCGTTTTCTTGCCTGTTGCTTTTATGCAAAAGCTATAAAAATAAAAATTGTTTG